GTGTGTGTGTGTGTGTGTGTGTGTGTGTGTGTGTGTGGCATCAGAATGAATTCAACTTAAGAAAAAACTGGCTTTGACCCCAACCAAACTCAAAGTCCAGCCAGAGGCCCATTAGCGATAAATATAAGTTGTAGTGTCACTTTCGCAAAGTCGTGCCACTTAACACTATTAAACTTAATCCAAATTACAGCTAAGCATCCTTGCATCATTACTTCTATCCTCACTCTACCCCACTTTCATGAAGGCTCCATGTTACAGCTCAGTTCATAACAGAGGAATGGGGACTTCCCAATTCTCAGGAGCCATCTGAAATCCTGTGTCCAAACCTTTCTTTACTCGGCCCTCCCACCTCCCACCTCCCACCCTGAGACAAATCGTCCTACTAAAGAGGCAGAGCTTCTGTCATTGTCTCATGAAAGTTAGTTCTCAATAACATCAGAGAAAGGCCATTCCATGAGCAGCATTTAGCTTTAAGCCCAAGAGATGCTCCCCCACCCCAGCCACCAAAGGAATCATAATGAATTCCATACTACCCCTCTACCCCTGTAAAGTTCTCCCATCTAAAAGCTCCCAATGGCAACGGCAGAAGGTGTTGATATTATGTTACTTGAGGAGAAGGAGAGGGAGATATATATAGTCTTAATAAAACCCCCATGCACAATTAAACTTGATTAAAAGCCTGGAGAATGCTAAAAGTAGTACTGAATATGGGAGCTGCTAGAGCAGAGAGTACAGGTGCGCCCTTCCTCGCAGTCAGTAAACGCTGGGAAGTTAACAGGAGATGTGACTTCACTTGAGCATCGGAGAAGCAAAAAAGTTGCCTTGTCGTCCTAGGTTGGTGGCAGACTTGCTTTTGCTCCCAAATCTAAAGAAAAGGAGAATAAACTGGAAAAGTATTCTATAAAAAAATGGTACATAAACAAGTATAACATGACTTGATATAATGAACCAAAAGTAGAAAACGGTCAATGACTACTCGGTAAGCTACTCTGTCACCTGAGATGAGAAGGGGAAATAGACCCTTTAAAAATGGGGATCCCTATGGCTCCAGGTTTCTTTTTGGAGTCTAGTTGCTAGCTAAGATCTAATTCCATCTTTCTTTCAATAAGCTTCAGTATGATGGGAAAGAAATCTAAGGAAGCAGTTATTTTTTATTTCGTAAGCAGGCCAATGCCACATACCTGGGTGTGTTCCTGGTAAGGGTGGAGCGGACTCTCTGCGACAAGGAGCTAGATGAAGGAGTCTTGAGAAGCTGGTGCTCAGGAGTGGTCACGGGTCCCAGTAAACTCACTTCAGTCAAAGTTAAGACGTATTTTAAAGGCGGGGGGAAAAGAAAGCACTTTTGTTTTTAAGCTGAAATCCCTGTGAAGCACTTGAGAGCTAAGGTTAGAGACCTAGCAAAGTCCCAGACATCATTTTTATCACCATGTTGTAACACACCAATATATCTTTTGAACTATGCCGGCAACTGTTCAATTAACAGCTGACATTCACTTCCTGATTTAGGCCGTTCTCAAACTCCAGACTTCATACATCTAACATCTAACCATTTGATTTTTTACCTATACTAGGAAAAAACAATATGCTCCCTTAAAAAGAACTTGCAATAATGAAAGAACAGGTCTCCAATGCCAGTGAGGCTGGAATGAAACCAGCCTCATACATTTTTGGTGGCAACACAAACTGGCAAAAGCTTTTAAGAAATTAAGTTGATAAAACATATCAAGAAACACAATAAGAATAAATTATATCTAAATTATTATATCTATAATTTAAAAAATATCCATGTGGAAGGAAGAACATAAAAAAGTGGGGGGAAAAACAGGATGGTAGAACTGTACAAATTTTCCTTTAATGTTAGAATTCTCAAAATGAATTTAATTTTTATTGAAGAATATGAATTTCAAGCAACTCTAGCAAAGGCAGGGAGAGGGCATGTGACCAAAACTGGAAGGGGAGTCGGGTCCTTTAAAAAGTACCACTCAGGCCTTACCTTTAATATCTGGCGTCTGTGGAGTTGAAAAGGCATTTGAGTTTTCAATGACATGCATGGGGTCGATGTTCTCTTGTTCCACCATCATGAACTGACTCCAGTACTCCAGGGGCAACGAAAGCAGGCGTTCCACCACCTACATGCCACCTAGTATGTTAGCAAACTTCCAAAGCTCAGGGCTTCCTCCCACCGGTCACCCAGGTTATCACGTTACACAAGTTCATACACAGACGTGCTTGCCTACCTTGGGTTGACGCTTTATGTCCTGTAACATTGTCACTGGATCTGGATTGGGCACAGCATGGGCAACTATTGTCGGGCCAAAGACTTTAGCCAGATTGGCCACATCCATTTTAGTGTTTGGGCTCTGAGCCACTCTAAGCAAAAGAGCATTAAATTAGAAGACTTGTTCCTCCACTTAAATACAGACCAAAATATAAGTTCTACAAGAAAACAATTCACCCCTCACGTTCCCTCCCTAATACCCAACCCACATTACCTTCCCCTTAGAAAATTCCCTAACTCCCAGAAATAAGTTTCTGCTGTACTCACCTCTGCAAGTGAATCATGAGGAAAGCTAATGTGTCTCTGTTGGCCTGGGGCAGCTCACCAACAGTCTGGTACATGGCAGCAATGCTGTTGTCCTCATCTGTGATTTCTGTAAATGAAAGGAGAGCACCAAGAGGCCTAGGGCTTCTTTCCCTTGACAGCGGGCTTCCAAGTTATCGACCACAAAGTCTCATCTATACAGTAAGCTTCTGAAACTTCTGATTAGGTTCATGACTGCATCAGACTCCAGTTTCATTAACAAGCAGGATACTGGCCAACAGTTCAATATTAGAAATCAGAACTTGGAAAAAACCAGCTCTTGCAGTTAGGAAAAGCAGCTAGCAACTGAAGAGCTAGGAAGGGAGACATACAATGGCTGTGACTACAGCTATCAAGAAGGTATTCGTTCATGAAACATGTTTAAGGGCCTACTGTGTGCCAGGTACTACTGGATCAAAAAGCAAATTATCTCTCAGATAGTAACACATGTAATAAAAGAAGGCGGGTAAGAAGCTAGAAAGTAATGGGAGCTGCTATTTTAGACAAGGTGGTCAGGAAAGGTATGTCTGAGGACAAGATATCCAAAAAGAAACCTGAAAGAAATAAAGGAGCAAATCATGCAACTGTCATTCCAGGCTGAGACAACTAACGTGAAGGCCTCGAGGAGGGAGTAAGCTTGGTATGTTCTAAGAATTGCAAGAATCCCATTGTAACTGGAAAGGAAGGAAAGAAGGGAAGGGGATAAAAGGAAATGATGTTGGAGACATAACCAGGAGCCAAATCATGTAGGGTCTTTTGGGTCATGCTAAGGAGTGTGGATTTTATGCTGAGGGTGAAGGGAAGCCACTGGAGGATACGGATGACAGAAGGGACATCATCTAATTTAAATATTTAAAGGATGACTCTAGCTACTGTATGAGGATCATGCCATAGAGGGCAAGGGTAGAAACAGGAAACTCAGGAGGTTCTTACATCACTCCAGGGTAAGAGGTGTTAAGAATGGAAGTAGGGGTAGAAGTAACAAATTTCAAGTTTAAGATATATTTTACAAGACCTCTGCTGACAACATTTTACCAATGGACTCAATGTGGAATGTGAGGAAGAGGAATCAAAGATGGTTCCAAGTTCAAAAGGACAACCTAATACTTGACCAAACAACAACAAAAAAACCTGTCAGTGCCCTAGACAGTCTAGCGGAAGAAGACAGGCATGGGGAACATGTATATAGTTAGTTATTCGTCCATCAAAGTATCTGACCCTCTACTATGTGGCAGGCACTTCACCAGGAGTACATAGAAGAGTCAAAAATCCCCACCTCTGAGGGATTCACACTCAAGTATTAAGATCTGCCCTTACCTGCTGCTTCCATAAAGGTCTTGTTTAGCCGGAAGGTCAGAAGCGGCTCTTTGAGGTTTCGCAGGAAGTCCTTCAGAAGGCTACAGATAGCATGGATGTCATCCACTTTGCTGAGGAGGGGTACAGTTTTCACTCTGAGAAATTTCTCTTTCAGCTCTTTTACTGTCCGGTCACAGCCTGAGATCCGATACAGGCCTGTCTATTATCGAGATGACACCTTCAGTTAAGAAGCGCCTACTTGTTAACACAAGTAGCAAATCTGCCCTCTTCTAGGGTACACTCTTACCTCAGTCAGCCCTCTCTGCTCAATCTCATTTACGCAGTGGACAATAATGGAGGGGATCATTGGAGAAGTCTGAGACACGTAATCTGCCAGCATTCCCTGCAAAGGGAAAGTTTTAAATTATTATTTACACCGCTCAGACCAGCAGATCTAGACCACTGGGAAGAACCATCTCCAGACTAATCAGGCTGGGACATCATATCTACTTTTAAATTCCTAGTCCCAAAGCATTTATTAGAACGGAGACTCTCAATTATTTTTCCTACCTCCACACCAGGCCTGATTTATGGTCACAGACACCAAACGCTTCATGAACAAGTAATAAAACCACTAGCTACAATTCCGTCCCTGCTTCTCTTCTACTCAAGGGCATCAGAAAGCAATAATGAGATGACAGGTAAGGCCTTTAATAGAAACTGATTTGTTCCTCTAAAAAAAGGAAACCTTTTAAATTATTCTTAGTAAGAAAAATTAACACAATTCAGTTGATTGTGACACAAACCTACCTATAGGGAAGAACTCCATTGGTACTATATCAGGGTACAGAAAATTTGTAAAACCTATTCTGCACAGATAAGAACTCTTAAGATTAGGGGGAAAATAACATTTGGTTTGCTGGGGGCTGGGTAGCAGCTTAGTCATTTTGTTTTGATTCTTGCTAATGTTGCTTGTGCAATAAATAATTTCTTAATGGATTGAATCGATTTTTAGAAATAGGCAACCTATCTTAATAGTCTAGTATGAAATATCTCTAAAGTAAGAGAAAGGATATTCACAGATAAAATTATATGATAGCTGGGATTTGCTTCAAAATAATTCACTGGACAGGGCCGGGATGAAATGGGAGTACTGATAAATCAAGATTGGACATGAATTAGTAATCGTGGGAGTTGAATGAATGATAGGAACCAGGGGTTCGTTATACTAATCTCTCTACTTTTGTATATGTTTCAAATTTTACAAAATACCAAATAGGATAGGATGGGGAGGGGAGGGAGGGCAGGAAAGGGGAAGAGGGAAGGGGGAAGGGGGAAGAAGGGCGGGAGAGAGAAGGGAGAGGCAGGGCAGGGAAGGGAAGGGAAGGGGTTTGGTTTAGAAAGGCTATGAAACAGACAGGCCAACCCAAACAGGACTCTGCTGCAAGGTAACCTTTTATCATTTCAATTCATTATTCATGGAAGGAATACATGGAATGATACTTGGTATCATTCATTTTAGAACAACAACTGACACTCAGCTTTGGAAAAGCTAAAGAAGCCCTAACACGGTGATGGCTCCCATAGGTCCTACCTCTCCGATCTTAACAGGTGTTCCTATCAGGGTAGGAATGCAGGGAAGGGGACAGCGGTCCCGACATTCCGGATGAGAGACCACCCGACAGTCTCGACACTTCAGAGACAGCTTGCCAAATTTTATCCGCTTTCCACATGGAACACAAGATTCGGGTTTAATAACCTGAGGACGAGATGGGGCAGAAGGGACAGAGTGGTATGAATTCGAAAATGGTAAGCACCACCAACCTGCATTTATTAAGCACCTAGCATGTGCTGAACAACTTTCTATCCTTTCATACATATTTGCTTCTGTAATCCTCACAATAACCCTATAAAACAGGTTTTGTTTTCTTTAAGATAAGGAAACAGAAGCAAAAAGAGGCTAAGTAACTTGCATGGTCATCTAGCTGGAAGGGAGCAGGGTACAGTAGTAGGGAGAACTTGCTGACAGGAAGTCAGAAACTCCATGTTCACTGCCACTAACTGTCATGTGGCTCAAACTAGTCAGTTAGGCCCTCTGAGCAGCCAATCTGCTTGGGGTTTTATGAGGAAATCAAATGGGACAAAGTTAAAACATGCTATTATTTAAGCATAAAACATAAACATATGTCACTTTTAAAAAGCACAAACAACTGCTTCTGAAAAGTTGCTTCTCTTAATTTACTATTATTACTCATAGAATGGAACACTACACAGCTTCTGTAACCAGTAGTTAACTGTGGGGGGTGAGGTTGGAAGGAGGAAGGAAATCCGACATTTAACTTTATAACGCTAAAGTATTTAAATTTATTCCTGGTATATATAATTTTCACAATTAAAAAAATTAAAGGTGTCCACAAGAAGGAGGCGCCATCAGACTTACCGTCTTCGAGACGAAGTCATGCAGCCGCATCCCTCCATTGCTCTGTGGGGTGCCGGAACTGTCTGTCTCAGTTCTTGGCTCCAGTGGCCTGCTGCTCAAGGTGGAGTCACTGTTCCAAGGCTGTAACGTACCTGGAAAACAAGCTTAAGTCTTAAGTATGTTGTTCCTTCTGAATTTTAACCCCAGTTTTAATATGACCAGTACATGATCAATCTTCTGTCACCATAACCAGAAGGGATGTGGTTACAGCTATAAAAAAAAAAAAACTGTTTCGGGAATGACAAGTTAGGCACTAGCAGCATAAGCCAGGCTAGCAACCCAAGGCGGGAGCTGGACACAAACTGCCCTGGCCCTTGGTAAGCAGCAGTGAGAAACGACCCAACACAGCCAATCTCGGCCCCACGAGGGCTCTGAGAAACCAATTCTCTTCCAGTTTCACCAGTTGCTTTCCACAGGCAATTCAGCCACACACCCAATGGACCTGTTTTCCTTCGGCTTCTTGTCCAATATGGTACAGTCTCAATAGTGGATACAGCTTCGATGGGCCCGCCATCATTGGGGACAGTCACAGTAGTTTTTGCAACTATGGAGTCATTCCCCTGAAACAAAAGTAGTAATGAGGGGAGGACGAACATTTGAATCTAATTTCCCCTCCACTATAGGGTATTCTGGAGTGCTTGAAAAATTCCTGAGTCTTGCTCAGGACTTACAGCTCCAGCCCAAAACACCAGTAAGTGGAAATGTCATACTTCAGGACAGAAATACAGGTCACAGGGATATATATACAAGCAACAAAGAATCAAACATAAAGCTGACAGTTGTTTACTTAGTCAGAATAATTCCATTCTTATGGATGATAAGGATCCTATTACATAAAAAAACTCATCAAACGTCTCTCTCAAAAAAAACAAAAACAAAACAAAACAAAAAAAAGTCTCTCAAAACAACACTGCAATGGTGACTCAGAATTTTTAATGCTTGGGGCCACAAATCTTTGATGTGTTCAAGACCATAATTCTCTTCGCCTGACTATTCTTACCTGGTCTACTGTGGAGCCAATGGAACGAGTTTTCTTTACAGGTCCAGGGGGACCATCAATGAACTGTCGGCTACTGGAGCGCTAGAGAGGGGGCAAACACCAACAAGTTTAGTGCCAAGTAGATCTGAAGCACAGAAGATAAAATTATTCCATTAGACAGTCTGGATACAAGTCCTAGGTTCCAGAACTACAGTAAGTAACAAACAACGTACTCTCTCTCGCTGCCTATTTCCACGTGAAACTTAAGTGGTACCAACATAAAAATGTCTTCGGTGCTCTAGAAGAAACAAGCAAGCTTTGGAAAATTTAGATGACAGCACCAGGAAAAGTAGAGCTGTAATCCTATCTAAGAACATGAAGTCTTTGGAAACATATGAAGTACCTAAACAAACACAGAGATAAATCTCTGTATATCCCATTATACACACATTTCATCTCACGCTTATATTAGAGCACAAAAGTCCTGCGTAAGAATTCAGATGACAGCTCAAAACAAACTTAAGTATATCCTTTTCCACTCAAATGAATGAAGTGAGAGCAGCCCAGACCGTGAAATGGGAACATCACTACTGCCCCCAGCATGATTCATTTGTAACATGTGTTTAACAATGCCTAAGGCAACATGTCGGGAATATAGTATCATGGCAGAATTTCAGGAGAAAACTGTTCTATTGTTACTTTGTAAAAAAAAAACAAAAAAGAAAACTAAACAAAACCATACATACCCTCTTTTCTCTCTTCTTCAATTTGAAAGTCTTTACCAAAGAAGAATCCCAATCCTGTTGATAATTATACTGTATTAATTTCTTTCTTTGGTTAGGCCTCCCCTAAACCCTGTGCAAATAAATTTACAGAGAACTTTAAAGGCTTCTTGAGTCAGACTACCTAACTTACAATTTGGGGAGAGGGGGTGGGGAGGGTCTTGAGTGTTGTAGCTACAGAGCTAAAGAACAGAGAACACACTGTCTTTCCAAAATTGAAGCTATTATAATAGAATCAGGAATCAATACCACAGAGGCAAGAAAAGGTTAAAGAATCAACTTCTGTCGTGATTATCTCCAGTGCCTAGTCCTTTGTTTCTGATTATTTTTGTAATTAGTTTTAGAACTTAAGGAATGTTAGGCATTACACTGATCGTGTTAGATGTGCTTCTTGCTCTTAAGGGATTGCTATTGTCTAATCAGATGTCCTGTACAATATAGCCACTTAACAAGTTCTAGTTCAGGTTTTACATCTCTCAGTCATCCCTCTTCCTTGGGCCCTAAAAGACGTATTCACCACTAAAGAATTATTTGTCATTTACTGTGGTCTAGTTTCACTTCACTTACTTTAACCATCTGCATTCATTTTTAGTAGCTACCTGTGAATTCCTTACTCTTGATAATCCCTGAAAACAAAATCCAGAAACAGTTGTATATGACAAATAGTAGCTTAGCTGAATAAATTTAACCTCTCCAATTCATGGTCAAGTAATTTAGCTACTGGTTGTTTGATTCAGCTTCAGTTACAACAGATATGTCACAGGTCTAGCTCCAAAATCAGCTAATAGTATGTTCTAGTTTTATTATACAGTCCAGACTTTTCTACATCATTCGTTATTTCAAAAAGGTGATACCTATCATTTATAGCTATAAAATGGCAATTATTTCCCAAGTTAAACACAAATTTGGACAGGAAACTCCAAGCCCACGTAACAAGTAATTGCGACTTGTTCTGCTATCATCAGAAAACCAACCACCAATAATAACCTCCTGATTTGTTTTTTTTGTTTACTAGCTTTCAGCCAAACAGGAAAGGTACACAAATCAGTAAACTATCAGTCTCTTGAACATTAAAGACTGAAATATCAGGAGATGACCTTTCATGCAGAAACACTGCCATAAGTTAAGAGAAGGGTGCTGCCCCACAAAGGTAGGGTAACAGAGTTTAGACACGCTAACCACTGTTGATCAAAGCATTATATGGGGCCTGGAAACTTGCATCAGTTTTCTGGCTGAAGCTCCAGGGCACTGGTTTTCCTTCTAATTGTGAAGCATAACTAAGTTTTCCTCATGAACTGAAGTAATTCAGAAATAAGGCACAAGTCTATTCTCCCGAAGAGCAGCAAATAAGCCCTGCTTGGATAGAGTCCTGATGATTTTTTTGTTGCTAGCTGGGGCTTTAATAAGTCAAGATATAATCAATTAGTACCTGTGGCTCACAGATCCATTACATAAATTTAACCTCATGCCAAATCCTGAATTCTATATTCTCACTTCCAGAAACTAAAAATATATCTATGCCAGTCTCCTATAGCTTGTGTGGATTTATATTTTAAAACGCTAGCTCAGTATCTACAATATATCAATAACACAGTAATAAAGGAATTCCAGAAGAGAGGACGGGAGATGTTCCTGAGGGAGCAGGAATATAGATAATTCTCAGAGAGCAAACGTCCATTACCAGCGATTCATCAGTCTTGTCAAAGCTGATATCTGATAAAATGGAACCAGATTCATCAATGGTTGACAGTCTAGATGAGTGAAATAATACAGTGTTAGACACAGAAGGCTGTGGAAGGTACAGTCCACCAACACCCAGAACAAGTCCCACTGGTCAGGCAACATCAGCCAATTTCACAGCAATGCCTTCCCTATGGAGATAACTACAAGCTCCAATCCTAGCTATGGTGGGTCGCTTTTTACCGTTTCAAGGGGGAGTGTGCGTACATGTATGAGTACACAGGCAGCACAGTTGCTTTTTCCGCAAAGGCCTTATGACTGCAGCTGAAAATTACAGTCAAGGGGTATGGGTGCTATTCCCTGCTGAGTTTGTACTACAGGCTACCAAAAATTCACAAGGCAGAAGAGTGAAGTTTAATTTGATCCCAACTGTGGTTGCTTTCTACGAGAGAGAGAATTACCCAGCATTAGCTTTTTAAGAAATTAAGCCCATACATCTTCTTAGTTATAAAGATTCCCCGTAAAAACAACCAGGCAACAAAATAAATAGCTCTGAGAGTGCTGACCTTTCCCTATGTGTTGTATTGGGGGTGTTAAATTCAAAGCCTGGTTGAGACTATTTTGAAGAGGGCTACAGTGGAACCAAAATTATTGTCTGGTCTTGGCTCACAGAAGGCCTTTCTCAACCAGAAGAGCTACAAGAGCTCTCTGGAGAGAAAACACTGAAAGTATTGCTGAACTGCCACTTTCACCTTTAGGTTTCTTAGCAATCTGTAGGATTAGTTATTGATGTGCAATTTAGCACCAACATCAAAATTTTACCCATGCTGAAACAACATCCTAAGGAGAGATTAAAAAGACAAAATAAAATAGGGGGGGGCCCCTGTGCCTTTATTTCCCACCCACCCCGCCTCCAAAGTCTGTTTCTGCTTTATTCAGCACACATTCCAGAAGCAGTATATTTAAGAGTTCAGATAACAAGAACTTCTGACAGCTGTGTTACTTGCGATCAGATAACAACAGATGCAGTTCCCCCACCTTTTGTTCCCAGCATTGCCGCTGGATGGCTGGCCTCTGTTGAGAAAAGCCAGAGCTGATTTTTGCTCCTCGCTTAGTTGAATGCTGCCAGATGTGTCACACATGAGCATCTCTCGAATCAGCTGAATCTGTCTTTCCTACAGACCAAAGCAGAGTAAAACATCCTAACTAACCAGGGGAGAAAGCTTCACCTCAAATTATGGGATGGGCAGACCAGAAGACATTAAAATACGGCATTATGCAAATGAGCCTTCAGGAAGGCTGCTACACCAATAGCATATTAATTCACATCAAGCCCAAACTGTGTCTCTGATTTCTGACTGGTAAAATGAGCTCCATCTAGAATAGTGGGGCTTTTGCTACAAGACTTTGGGATCAAATTGCTAATCCAAGAGGACACGGTATTGTAAAATGAGAGTCCCAAAATAGATTTCACATAGCAAAAACACTTTAGTGTCATTTTATCAGGACGATTATTGGCTTCTTCGACAGATCAAAGCAGCCACCCACCTTCCTAAATGGTGGAGCAAAATGTATTAAAATGGATACAAAGCTGTGACACACTGGAACCAGACAATTTGAACTTAACTGAGGCATCTAACACCGTGCCAAGATGGATTAGTGCCTACTAGTAAAGGCTTTCTTTTGTACATGACCCACCCCGGTACATCAAAATCGAAGTATTCTACGTTAGCCACGCTGCTCAACTAAATACATCTAGGCTTTACCCTGAATTAGGAGCCCTGGTGAAGGCAAGACTTAGAGCTGTCGTACCTGTATCAATGACAAAGTACTCATTATTGATATAAAGATGAGGATATTCTGGGTACCATGAGAGATGACCAATTGTCTTGTGACAGATCAAGAATGCTAGGATTTCCCTGCCCTCCCCTCTAATTTTAGTCCTTTAAATCCTCATTTGAAATTTTTCTATTAAATGATAGTTTCAAGTCTAAAGCAGAAATAAATTTAAATTTCAATCCTATGGAGAACAGAATTCCCAGGCTGCAATTTCGACTCCAATGATGGACAAGTTGTCAATGGACAGGTTGTTTTTAGCTCTTTAATGTGGAATTAGAAACTGGGTTTACCTGGCAAGTGGAAACTTTATCAGGTGATGATTCCCGCTCCCCCACCGCCACAGTTCTAGCACAGAAAACAATACCCACCAGCTTCTCGCAGTCGGCCTCAGCGCGCTGCCTCCGTTTGATCTCCACGTCCACCTGATTGCGGGCATGTTTCAGCTTAACATCCAGGGCGCTACGCTCAGTCTCTGCTTTCATCAGAAGGTCCTTGTATTTCCCCAGCTCATGGTCTGTTCTCTGCCACTTTTTACGGAAATCCTCAAAGTCCTTTGCCAACTGGATAAATTCTAAAGAAAGGGGGGAAACTTTAATAATTCAAGCACCAAGCAGAGTATAAATGAGTCCTCTGGTTAGTTTTACTCCAAATACATAATTAAGGGACCAGCTAAAGCATGGGCAAATCCAGCTGAAAACAACCAAGAGCAGATCCTGGATAAGTGTTCATCACTCTAGATGAGAGCTTGGTGGGGAGCAATTCCTGTTTCAATAGGCCACTTACTTTGGCTTAGCCAGTGGCATCTGCTATGGAATAAGTAACTCATTAGTCACCTGGCTCCAGATGTAATACCAACACTGAAAGCTCCTGAACAGAAGGCAATCAAAGGGGGATACCTTTGGGGCAGCTGTCACGCACCAGGACAGTTACAGCTATAAAACAAAAACAGCCTCCTTTGGAGTCACGCATTGCTGCGCCAAAGAGACATTAAACAGCAAATTCAAATGTAACTGCTGTAATATGCTCCAGTAGATGTAGATTAATATTACAGATGTCTAGGCCTACAATCCCATTCAGCTATATAATTATACAAATATTGATTTGAAAGTAAAGAGCCAATTTGCTTTTGCTGTTTAACACTGCCCTGAAGGGTATGTAAACATTCCAGTTGGAAAGACACCGGGAAAAGAGCACACTAGCTTTGGGTGAGTCACGGAATGTGTGCAAAGACAGCACCACCTCCAAGGCAGCAGCATCTCAAAGCATGAAAACCCTGGTGGCACTCCTTCTTATCACCTGCTCTCTGCAGGCTTTTCTTCTACAATGCCTTACGATTTTCTAGTTAACCTCAATCTATCTTTAAACATCACTTTCCAACACTATCATGAAGGAAGTTTCCAAGGTGTACATCTGCTGTTGGTCAAACTAACCCAGTTTATAGTGGAAACTAGGCCAAATTCACACAAGACTAGCAAGCAGATTCTTATGTAGTAAGGGCACTTTTCCTATTTGAACTTAATCTAACACTATAGAAAAAAATACAGTGCCCTTTTAAAGCAATTTTAATAATCGGACTAAATTTCAAGCTTACAAATTAAAATTAGGCTACCAATTCAATCTACAGAAACCAAGTCTTACACATAAGGAAACTTCAGTTTTTAGCAAACAAAAGATTTTAGTGAAACCGGATATTATGACCTAGTTATCTTAGATAACACAAATATCAAGGATCCAAAAAATAAAATATAATTCAAATAATTTTAAATGATATGCTGGTTTAGTCAACAGCTTGGAATGTATTACTAAGTTGTTTCTCCTCCTTAAAGAAAAAGAAAATAAACAATACATCCTTGTGCAAATTTAACTATTTCAACATTATAGATTCACAAGGAAAAAAATTAAAAACCAAAGCTGGTTCTTAGCCACTCTGGCAATTCATCAAGCAGTGCACTTATGATGTGTGCATTTTCCTGATGTATGTAATACTTCAATTTCAAAAATAAAGAACAAGAAACATACTTTTCAACTACACAGTCTAAAAACTTTCTAGCTCCACACTGTGGTCAATTAAATGTTTCAAAATATAGTGCTGTATACACACTCAAATATTTTACAGAATTGAAAAACAACTTGAATGGAAAGATTTCCATTTAACCTAATTTTGCTGGTTTGTTTATTCTGTAGTCCTTCTTGGTAAATCTTATTAAATTCGGGTATAATCCCTGTTCATTGTTAATTGGCATACATTACAGGTCTAACTGAATTGGATGATGGAATCAAACCCAAATAAAGTATCAGTTCACTTCAGGGAAGGCATTCCTATTTTAATAGTACAAATGATTAAATTACTAGTTCAGCTTAGTTTGTTAGACCAAAACCAGAACACATCTGCATACGTGACTAAATTATTACTTTTTATGTACAATTCTGTTATGAACTAAGTTTGCTATGATGGGTCAAAAAGGCACTTTATACCGCAGACCAGGAAAAATTCTGATGTTGGAGACCAACAAACATGGCCCTTTATTATTATTATTATTTTTTGCCAGTTTGTGAATCACAATCCAACTTGGTACTAGCCCCTGTTATGAAGTACACATTCAAAAGATTTGTTAAGGGCCGGCCAAGTGGCACGTTGGTTAAGAGCTGGCTTGGGATGCCAGAGGGCCCCGGTTCAGATCCCACATATGAGGGCCAGTGACACTGCCCTCTACAGCTAAGATGCTGAACAACAGCTCAACCTGGAGCTGGGCTGCTGTGAGTCTCCGGCAACAGCGGCGGCTACAGCCCCTTCTGCAGAGGGTTGCCATGCGCTACCGTATGTAGCCAGCAGCCAGCGTGAGCAGCCGTCCAGAAGCCAGCGACTGATCTGCCTCGCCCGGGAAGAGCGCAATGATGGTGCCAACCTGGGCCAGTGAAGCAACGTCCTCCACAACCAGACTGAAGAACAAAAAGACAGCAACTTGTCTGTTCCCCTTCCCCCAATTCCCCAGCACTGTTCCCTTCCCCCAATTCCCCAACAAAAATCTTTAAAAACAAAACAAAGTAAAAAAAAAAACACATTAAAAAAAGAAAAACAAGCCAATGAGAATTTGATTCATAATTCAGCAAACAGATTAAAGCAGTTCCAGAAATCTTGTTTTCTCAGCTCACTCCTCCTGGGGCCTTTGCACAGGCTCTTCCCTTTGTCTTTCCCACTGTTCTCTAAGCTTTTGAAGGGCAAGGACCTTGTGTCTCTTTTGCTCTTTTATCTCCAGTGCCTTGCACTCTGCCTAGCACACAGTAGGCACTCAAATATTCACTGAAGAATTGTTGTTGAGATCAAAGTTAAACTCCAGGCATCCAAGCCCACCTAACCAATCTAATCACACTTCCCTCCCACCACCACACAATGCCCTTTTTCTATGTGTAGCTGACCCAGTTTGTCCCTGCCCCCAGAACAGACCCATGCTCATTTCTGCCTTCTTGTGATCAAGCTATGTACTCCAAATGTATGCCCTACCTAGTCTTCTTTATGTACCCATCTTTCTAGTCTCATTTGCTCTATAAATCCTTTCCTAATCTATTTGCTCACATTAAATTTGTCTATACTTCCCCAAAGCATATTATTTTGATATTTGCTTGTGTTATCTTCTGTTTCATGAGAAAGAATCCTGTCTCTGAAGCTTAAGTACCATATTCTTGAAGACTGGCACCATGTCACATGCATTTTAGTATTGTCTCCTGTATATAGCATAGCACAAACTAGCATGATGTTGCCACACAAAAGGCACCTGATAAATATTAACTTATATTTATTCCTAGTTTACACACCAACAACATCAAGGAAGTTCAGGCAGCTCATGATAAAATAAAAATAGAAGATAAAAATCATGTAGATTGGGAAAAACAAAGATAAAATACCTACGCTACTAAAGCCATTTTATTTGAATATTAACCTTCACTCTGATCTCTCAGTAACCTTGGACTTAGCTCAAAAAAAAAAAATTATCAAAAGGAGAAAGAATGAAATTATGATGAAACCCAAGAGTAAGGAGTTGGGATACCTGGGCATGGGAGGAATCCCCAGAGTCAAAGAAGAGGTCAGAGGCTGGTTGCAGAAAGGAGATTCTGGAGTCTAGAAAACACTGAACCACTTTAGTTCCTCAAAAGCCAACATTCCAAGTTGGAGATTTGGAGATGGAGGCAAAATCTCTCTCTATTTTATAACAGAAATCAATGGGAAGATATAAATTTGCTTATATAATAAGGGTATCTATAAAAATAAATATCTTGTATGTTTTTTGCATAATTACTTTCAAAGTATCTTCACAACTAGTATCTCATTTCATCCCCAAATCCTCACAGCACTCCCACAAAGAAGATAGACATTTAAATTTCTATTTTACAGCTAGAGAAACAGACATAGAAATAACCGTTAAAAGTCAGCACTAGTTATTGAGACTCCAAACCTCAGATTCCTCCCTCCCTCAGCCCCCACACCTATCAGCTGCCTCCTCCTAGCGATCTTATTTTCACCATCTCTTCCATCCATTTCCCCTTATTCTCATTTTCACAACCACCATCCCAGGTAGGACTCCTACTGCCTCTTTCCTGAGCAGTTGCAGCCATGTCCTACTCAGTCTCCCAGCTTCCATCTCTACTGCACCCTCCACCTCTGCCAGGGTAATCTTCCAAAAGCACAGCTCTGATTATGTCCCTCCCCCTTACTCTTATTCTCCTCAAGCCCCACACCCTTTTGCCTCCACTCAGACTGTTGCCCTGACCCTAAAGGTCCTCCTCATCTCTGTCTATTGGGATCCTACCCTATATCTAAGGCTCACTTCAAACCCTACTTTTCTCCATGAAGCCATTTAGTCACCCCTTTGTCTCAACTCAAAGTGTGCTAGAAGCTGTGGTAGGTTCTCACTAAATATTTGCTGAATGAACCTGAATTTTAAGATCTCTTATTCAATACTCTTCCCCACTAGGCTCCAAAGTAATCCATCTTCTAAGATGATGTGACCTCAAAGAGAAGCCTAATTAGTATGCCATCGTGGTTACTGAGCTGGTACCAGATGACAGGGTCATGCAACAGCTATTAGAGAGAGAAAATAGAATATTGTTTTGAAAGGCCTGTAAGTGGATAAGAGCTATTAAAAACATCAATCAAATTAAAGGAAATATTGAATGGCATAAGCAAGATGCCATACTAAGTACTATAGGAATTTTTTGTTTAAGACATAGTTCTTGCATTATTTTTATATAATGAGGCTGACTTAAGAGAATACTTAACTAAATTAGGTGTTAATGAAAATCTTAAATAGGAGAGGATGGCAGCACTAAGAGAATCTGGTAGAGAATAATTCCCACAGATCACTTAAGTCAGTGCTACCAGCCCCACCTTCGTTTTTCACTAATCTACTTCCCAGATGACTGTTTTATCACCACCTCCATTTCTCCCCAGCTCTCCACCCAATCTCAATCCTTTATTACTAAACATCAAATATATGAAGTAGGCAAAAGCAGATGAATAGCTTCTCCTTCAAAAGAAGTTACGACATTTTTCTCCTCTTCAGTTGAAAATGTTCCATAGAACACAGAAAAAGCCCAGGATAAAAAATGTAGACAACTACTAAAGAAAAAAAGCAACATCCCTAGAAATTCAGATTTTGCCCAGTTCATGGTACAAAAATTGGCATCTAATGCCAACTATTTAGTGGAAAAAAACCTTGATAATGCAGAAAGTCTGGATAAAACCCATTTAAGAACTATAGAAAAAAGTGACCATTTAGAATGAGTGGTCATTAAGCTCTGACCATGGAAAAGTGGCCATCGCTTTCTTTTTAAGTAACCCAAATGAAACACAATTTTAAGATTGAAACACACTTCAGCTTTGCAGAGAACCCAAATCTGAAATCTGTTTTCTCTCTTCACACAGGCCAGCTCAGGATGACTTACGGAGTTCATTTCCTTCACTGAGAATCTCCACCCGGCGTACAAGCTGCTCAAACAGATTCCGCAAATTCAGCATCGTAGTATCCATCTTTCTGCCAAGAAATCAAATATACATTAGGGATCCTGCCTTCTCCCCCAGACAAAAGACTCGGTAGCAATCCAGTCCAGTCATCAGTGACTAACATCTGGACTCTTCCATTGTAGCTACCGTTTCAGAATCTCAAGCCAACAATTGATGCTTTGTGTAACACTTATTATAATAAGAAAGTTGGAATGTTTGACACTCATTTGAAAATTAGAAAAGCATTTCAGACCTCTCAATATAACCCCCTTCCTGCCTATTTCTTTTCCTTCATTCTACAATCACTATGGAGCTGAAAGGAAAGCAATTAGGTCAGTTGATTACTAAGTGACCAACTACAAAATGCGGTTCTTAGGCAAGCCTATTGATTAACAACACATCTGCCACTTTAATCCTTCTGGACTTCGAAGACCTTCAACATAACCTAAAAGGTTTATTTTTTAATTTCATGTTTAGCTAGTACCCCCATTGCATCTGTCTTTTAAAACGCAGGACATGGTCAGCACATTTTCTACCAACAGCACAGATGACGTCACACAAGTGATTAAGTGGGGAAATCGCCAGCTCAGCAGCACAAGAATTATTTCTGTAATGCAAGGCTCTTTGCTGGACTGTGTGCAGGGACTATGTCTAATAAATTTACACTAAGTATAGGCAGAGGCTTATGTTGTACCACATTCTGGCATCGAGGAGACAATACACCACCTTCACGGTTAGAAGGGCAAAGGAAAAATCATTTGCTACTGTGCTCTGTATAGTGAATTTCAGGCCTCGTGCCCCCCCCCCCAAGACCTGCTGGTATTACATTAAAAATGGTATCCTTACCAGCAATTCTGTTTTGAATAGACTTTAACTGGGAACACTTGGAGAAAATAAGACCTTCATTTAACAGGCAAGAAAGAAAGACATCAACTGGATGTTATAGAAACTATCAAGGAAATGAAATAAAAAATCAAATTTCATTTAACAACTGAATGTTCTCAGAAACACCATTCAGGGATTCTTCTCAGGTTTCGCCTAATCACCCCTTCAACAGTCTAGTCCAGGTTCTTATTTCATCTCTAAATAAGATTTGAAGAACTCTTTTATGACAGTTTAGTGATTTTACAATGTTTATAAGATTGTACCATATGCTGTGAGGGCAAAAAGGAAAAAAAAAACTGCAAAGGGCAAAGGAATATATAAACATAAAGATATTTTCTATTAAATGCTACAGAATTATTCATTTGTACTTGTATGATGATTGCTCTAATAGCAAAAGAGCTTTCAGTTCCAAGCTTGGATGTGATATATACCTGAATCAGGGCTGGAACCCAAGATTTTCAAATGGCAATGTGTCTGTTCCAAGCTACATAATCACAACAAGCTGCTAAGCAACCAGACCAACAAATTTATTACAAAGAGCTTCCTCTAAACTAAGAACAAAACTAAAATAATAGTTTTGGCAGCAAGAGATTTGGAAGTCATGGAGATGCCGTGGATTCAACAAGATGACAAAACAGGCAAATATAACCAAATGCTTTAGGGCAGACACAGGAGCAGCACATTCATAGCTTATTCAAATTATGATTTCCTTGGGCTCCCAGTAAAAATGAAAGATGCTGATCCAGTTTTAATATGGGGTATTGATTTCTATCATCTCAGCATGCATCTGTATATTCTGAGACTCCAAGACAGTGAGCTCAGTACATAGGAAAACTTCTATCTGTCTAAGAATGCGGAAATGGAAAATTTCACAGTACAACTAAAATCTAGTTGTTTAAACAAACAAAAAAAAAATTCAGAAGAGTTTACGTCTTAAATGACAATACAACAACCTGATCTTTTGCGCCTTTAAAAGAAATCCTCATATTTTCTCAAGTTCCTCTTCTAGTCCATTATTCTTCTTTCCTATGTTTTGTCCATACTACTCCCTAGAGTGAGGGTTGGGGGAGGTACTCTCTTGAAAACACAACCCGATTCCTGAAAACTCTGAAGACACACAGAGAACCTACCTGGGGCCTCTCATCATAGTAACTGTTATCTCATAGAACTGCCTTGATCTACACCGTTCTCCTAATATGACACCTAGTAGCTGGGAGACAGCTGTATAACAGAACTCCCAGTGCTGTGTTGTGAAACAGCAGAGGTAACCAACCTAACTGTCTAGATTGTCAGTCACCAGATTTAGAGTTTTACAAATAATTTGATTATGGATTTTTCTGTTCTTCTCTCTCAACATCACACATGCCTAAAATTCAATCCTCCAACCTCTTGAAGCACAGGTCAAACTATTGCACTTTAATCATTACATCTCTACAGACAAATCACCCATTTATCTCTCCAGCCCTGGCCTCCCTAATGCCAATCCTGAGCTCTCAAATTTGCTTGGGATGCCCCAGATTTTCAGCTTGATTTTAAGACATTGTTCTATCTTTCCCCCTCACGTATGTACGGTAAAGTAAAAGTTACAATAAGCTAAGGTTAAGTTATTATTGAAGAAGTAAAATTTTACATTTAGTGTAGCCTAAGTGTGCAGTTTTATAAAGTCTGCAGTAGTGTACAGTCATGTCTGAGGCCTTCACGTTCACTCACCACTCACTGACTGACTCACTCAGAGAAACTTCCAGTCCTGCAAGCTCCATTCATAGGAAGTGTCCTACACAGGTGTGCCATTTTTATCTTTCATACCATATTTTTACCATACCCTTTCTATGTTTGGGTATGTTTAGATACACAAATGCCGTTGTTACCATTGCCTACAGTATTCAGTACCGTAACATACTGTACAGGCTTGTAGCCTAGAAGCAATAGGCTGTGTGTAGTAGACTATACCTAGGTTTGTATAAGTGCACTCTATGATGTTCGCACAATAACAAAATCACCTAACAACACATTTCTCAAAATAATAACACCCTACAGAATGTATCCCCATCATGAAGCAACGCACGACTGTCTATCATCAACTACCCTACCCACTGACTACCAATTTTGATTTCCTTATTTTTATCATTCTCCCAGTTGCTCAGTTCCAAACCTCAGCATCACCTTAAGTTAATTCCTTTCCTACAAGTATAATCACCAAACCTTGTGGACTCTTCGCTCATGTGTGTTATTACCATGCCCTCATCACTTGCAGGTCATCACTAACTTCAACTGATCTTTCCCACTGCTTTACTCAGTTGGCACTCAGACACATACACCTTGCACTCTAACTTTACCACGTAAATGTGAGAGGAAAAACCTTGCATTTATTCGGCACTACTGTATTACACATACAAACACTAAGTTTTTTTTTTTTAAGATTTTTATTGGGGAATTGGGGAGATGGAAATAGCGCTGGGGAATTGGGGGAAGGGGAACAGACAAGTTGCTGTCCTTTTGTTCTTCAGTCTAGTTGTGGAGGACGTTGCTTCACTGGCCCAAGTTGGCACCATCACTGTGCTCTTCCCGGGAGAGGCAGATCAGTCACCGGCTTCTGGACGGTGGCTCACGCTGGCTGCTGGCTACACACGGTAGCGCATAGCAACCCACTGCAGCAGGGGCTGCAGCCTACGCCGTCGCCGGCAACTCATGGCAGCCCAGCTCCAGGTTGAGCTGTTGTTCAGCATCTTAGCTGTAGAGGGCAGTGTCACTGGCCCTCATATGTGGGATCCAAAGCAGGGCCCTCTGGCATCCCAAGCCAGCTCTTAACCATCGCGCCACTCAGCTGGTCCACAAACAGTAAGTATTTTAAAATAAATATTTCATAAAAGTCACAGAACACACACACACACACCCATGATTCTATTGTCAAAAGAATTTCCAAGGGCCGGCAGAGTGGTGCAATGGTTAAGAACTGGCTTTGCACGTCAGGGGACCCCGGTTCGGATCCCACATATGAGGGCCAGTGACACTGCCCTCTACAGCTAAGATGCTGAACAACAGCTCAACCTGGAGCTGGGCTGCCATGAGTCACTGGCAACGGCGAAGGCTGCAGCCCCTGTGGCAGTGGGTTGCCATGGGCTACCGTATGTAGCCAGCAGCCAGCGTGAGCGGCCAGCAGCTGCAGTGAGCGGCCGTCCAGAAGCCGGCGACTGATCTGCCTCGCCCAGGAAGAGCGCAATGATGGTGCCAACTTGGGCCAGTGAAGCAACGTCCACCGCAACTAGACTGAAGAACAAAACGACAGCAACTTGTCTCTTCCCCTTCCCCCCAATTCCCCAGCACTGTTCCCACCCCCCAGTTCCCAAATAAAAATAAATAAATAAATAAAAAGGAAAAAAAAATAATTTTCCATTCTACCTGAAAATTAATGTGTAATATAGAGAAAAACAAAAAGAACAGCTAAAAAAGGGGGCTAGGTGGGGACTAAAAGAAGCTCTGGGATAAAGTTTTAGTTCTCCTATTTACAAGCAGTATAACCTTTGGTAAGTCACTGAATTTCTGAGACTCATCTATAAATGGAAACAGTAATATCTGTCCTATTTACCTCACAGAACATTACCAATTAATGTAGTTAAAAGTTTTATAATGCATAAATTGAACTTTCTATAAAAGATAGGATATTATTATAGTAGGTATGAAATTTTTGTTTTTGCTTTGGTCTGATAGTTATTTATACCCTAGAATATGGTTTACCAAATCATAGCTGGAACCCAGACCAAAAAGAATGGGGAGACAGCAAAATTTGACCACGTCTAAGCTCTTTAACAAGCTGCTCTACATGAGACTTGTAGCATCTGAGATAAGTTAGTTTTCCTTCTAACATAGGTTTATGTACAGTAATCCAAAAACAGCACCAGTAAAATATAATCCTCTTCTCTTTATATTCTGGGGGACCACCATGCATTTTTATTAATGTTCTACAGAAATGATGCTCGGGAATTATTTATAGATGACAAAAATATCCTTCTGCATCAGTAGTAACTGTGCTATCTCAGCCAAATTGTAACTCGAAAAGTTAAAAATTACTCATGCTACTCAATGTCAACTGAAAATGGTCTTAATTTTCCTGCTGGGTCACACTGTTACCTCATGAATACTTCTTTATTTCTCCCCCTTTATTATTTAGCTCCATAGCTAGGAGATACACTAATGTGAAAGGAAACAAAAACAAAGTCATATTGTAGTACATTGCTCTGGAGCTGTACAACAGCTGTCACTTTTCACTATAGAGGCAGCTGCCTTTCGGGAAAGCTGAAATGATCCCTGTGTGGAGCAAGGAAATCAGTTTGTGAAGCACTTTAAACAAAAAGGTGCTACAAAATTTCCGCTGTTATTGATGAGAAGCCCCAGAGGTGGAGAAGTCACTATGTTACAGATTCCCAATCTGTGAGTATCCCTAAGGGAGCAATTTTGCATCACAAGTAAAGAGTCTCAGCTCGATGTGATTGCTTTGAGACCCCAATTTAATTTCAATCACCCAGCCAAGAGACAGACATCGTCCTTCAGAATAACAGACTACTACAGATCTTAACTGCAGAGTATCCTGGGGGAAGGCACTATCTTCTTCTTCCTCCCACTACAAACAACGTTAGTAAGAGAATCCATCATATTTTTTAGATGCATCAAGGGTGTTAAATATTGTAAGATAAAGCAATGAAAGGTTGTTTGAGTTTTTCAGGAAGAGTTTTAATGAAAAACATTCTCACAAACATTACTAAATCTGGAGATCCCCAAGAAATCAACAATATAGGTTCTCTGTTCAAGGAAAACCATTCTCTAATACAGTCCCAATACTACAGGATTCTTTTATGAAAGCATTTCAGAACAATTCTTCTTCCCAAACGTCCAGCTTGTTTCACTCTATCAAAAGCCTCTACACAACTGATAGGCAGAAGAATATCTTGAAACCAAATGTTCTTATGAGCAAACCAATTGCAGAAAGAGTAAACAGACCATCCTCAGTCCAACATGAAGACTAAAATAAGGGATGAGTTGAATTATTATTTTTCAGAAAATTATTACCAGTTCAGTATACTAAGTTGTCCTTTCTTTTTTTCTGTGAATTCCCATTCTGAAGTGTCCCATTCTTCAACATCTAGTGTAAGTCTTAGCCAATTCACTGAAGCATCCCCTAACCATTTCAGTCCAAAATGATCTCTTCTTTTTTATCTACAACATTTATTTGGCAAATATAAAACAATACCTCATATTGTTAATTTTCAATGTTCAAAAAAATTAATGTTTTAATAGCTAAACTTTTCATAGGAAAACCTCACCACCCTAAACTATATGCACCTCCTCATCTAATCTTTGCCCATTATGCATTCATTTATTTCACAGATTATATATAATTCTGTGTTTTGATTTTTTTCCTATGATGTTTCCATTAAGTTCCAAAAAGCTGATGAACAATTATTTGTTTAACCGTTCTCTTCTTTGGACATTTAGGTAATTTCCAGCTTTTTAGTTACATCTGCCTGGAACCTCTTGCATAGTCACTCCCTCATCTTCAGGCATTTATTCACACATCATTTTCTCAGTAAGGTCTTTCCTATTTTAAACTGCAGCCTTTCCCCTCAACACTCCTCTGCTTCATGTTGTTCCAAAGCACTTATCTCCATCTAACATACTTATATATTAATTAATTTATTTTGTTTATTGTCTGTCTCCCCAATACTGTAAGTTCCAAAAAGGCAGAGATTTTTGTCTGTCTTGTTCATTGCTGAACCTGTGGCACCCAGAACAGTGCCTGACACTTGCCAATGATTAATAAATATTCATTGAATGAATGAACACCATTATGGGCAGTGTTTTTCTTCAGGTGGCTATGTTCCTTGGAATAAATTTCCAAGGCTGGGATTACTACATCAGAGGGTAAAAACCTCTTATGGCTCCTGATAAATATTGTGAAAATATTTTCTAAAAGGGCTGTACTAATGTACAGTGCTCTCAACAATGTAAAGGCCTACTAGATTCACCAGTCAGTTATCTTTTCAAGTTCTATCACCCCCCCAAAAAAAACTGCAAGTTCCTTTAAAGCCAAGTAAGATTGTCTTGTACTTAAATACTTGTTGAATGATTAAGCTACAGGAAAGCCGCCTTCTCTAAATACTTTCAGTAACTCAAAAAGCTCACCCCACACATCAAAAAGAATGATAATGACATTTCTTTAAAGCTTATCTTCCCACCCACCCCACGTTCCTATCTATACACACCCCACGCCTACGAATGAAATCCTGTGACGAGAAATGTATGTGAAAGTGTAAAAGTAAGGCCTTGTTGTTGCTAAGGCTAAGAATTAGGGTGGGAAGGACAACACGTCAATGCCACGGCCAGCATAGGCACACAGCCCACAAGGGAGGAAGACTCCACTTGCAGCCTCAGCGGCCTCTCAAATACCAGGGGCCTTTCCCTTCGAAAAGTCCTGTTCCTGCAAAAAGGATGGGAGTTTTACCCCCCAAAATTCCCAAATTCTGTATCCACGTGAGAATCACTTCTTTGGGGTGGAGGCTGCCCTGCTCAAGCCACCACCTCAAAAAGACGCCCCGGCTTTCCAGGAAACACGGCGCCAAGAAAGATGTCCCCCACTCCCCGCCACCACCTATTCAGGCCGCTCCAGCTCCCGGCCCGGAGGGGGTTCCTGTGGAGGCGCAGTAGGTGCTGCCTTCTCCCCGAGCCCGGCGGTGGCCAAGGCTCACCAATTCCGACTCCCTCCTACCACAAACTCGGCGCCAGACGAACCTCTTCCAGCAGCCCCCGCGGAGCCCACTCAGCCGAACCCTCCTGGCCCCACCTGGGAAGCCTTCCGCTTCCCTCCGGGCTGTACCCAACGGCAGAGGAGCACCGCGCCGCCAGCTCGAGTTTGAAATCCTTCACCAACCAATCACGGAGAAATTTATTCCTCCCGCGCTGGCCCTGTACACTGCCACGCACGCGCATCGGAGCCACAGGGGAGGGGCGGGGACAGGACTAAGCATGCGCATTCCCATAGAGCGAGGCCAACGGCAGCCATTTTGACTAAGGTCAACAGGTCTCTTGCCCTTCACACCCCCCTCCTCCCCATCCTCCGAGCCCTTTTTTGAAGCCATTCAGGATACCATGTTAACTAAGGGCAAGGGATGCTTCTTGAGTACAAATTTTGGCCTCACTGTTTCCCTCAGGCAAGGAGATAAGGCTTTTTAGAAACTATCAATTTAGTGTCAGGTTTCACTGTTGAATAGGAAGAAATCTGGAAAGAGAGAGAACAGCAGTTATTTGCAACCATATTTACTGAGCTATATAATGCCTTCATTCATTGATGAATTCATCCAGGTTTTAATTTGACGCTCACTTATTAAGTGCACTCTACTAAGAATCAGGAAAGTAAAGATGATATGATCTCTACTTTCCAGTAGCCACCAATGGAGGAGAGAGCTCTAGTAAACAAAAACAATACAAAATATAAGTGCTATAATTTCATTTAATAAACATTCATTTAGAACTTGGCATTGTGCTAGCTCAGGGCTTTCATATTTTCTTTTCACTCAGACCCACGGTGAGAAATACATTTTACATTACAATCAAGTATCACAGAACTCTGCTTATCCTTACTAATGTGCTCTGAATTTTTCTCTTTTTCCCTCCCATGTTGGTTGTCCCTACTTCATTCAATTTATTACTCAATAATGATTCGCTACCCTCAACTTGAAAAAATACTGGCTACAGCTTAGAAGAAACTGTAGTTTAATAGAAGGATCACAGGTTTTATAACCAGAAAACTTGACTCCATTTAAACAAATACCAATGGAACAATTTTGTGTGGCAAGCATACCACTGAACCATCTGTATTATTACTTTTTTCCCCTTCTGTACTTCACTTTCTGTAACTATAAAACAGAAATAATAGTACCATCCCTATCTCACAGGTTTATTCTCAGATAAAACAAGAGATTGTATGGAACACAATCAAAGTTTATACTTTGTAAATTGTAATACAGATTTTATTACTATTATTAGGAAACAGATGAAGAAAAGAAATATTAACTATACATATATTATCCCATTTAAACGCCCAACAACCCTTCCAAGGCAGGAACATTCATTGATTGCATTAGCCTGTGCCTCCTTAGATACCTATAGCAATACAATGAAATAAGTACTAGAACTGAATTATGTAAAGTGCTTTAGAAGCACAGATGAGGAAGCATTTAATCCTATCTGGGGAGTTGGGGGAGTGTTAGAAAAGCCTGTAGAGACTTGATATCTGAGCTGGGACTTGATGTGTGAATAGGAATTTACCAGATAGAAAGAGGTGGCAAATTCCTGGCAATGAAAGGATCGAGTGACCTCTCAGGAATGAGTCACGTGTATATTTAATAAATACACACACAAATGACTTACATTTATGAAGGTTTGGGACTGTGAAGGAACATTTACCTCAACATGCAGGTGACATTGGGCTCAGCGGATGTGATGCCCCTTGGGCAGCTTTGGTCTGAGGAGGGAAAGGAGAAGCTAGCAAAGTATGTTAGGACCAGACTAGGAAGGGATTGGACTTTATCCTGTAATAGACACAATGACAGACAATGGGGCTTAGACTGAGTATGGCTAGGTCTGCATTTTACTTAGATCATACTCACACTCATATGTTCAGATGGCATGGATGACAGTCTGGAGAGTAAAAAAACATAAAGGTAGAAAGACTCTTGCTTTATCATTAAGGAGAGAGGATTCAAGCTGAATTAGGCCAGTGGCAGTTTGGGATGAAAAGGAGGGGACAGGTGGGGAAGATATTCATGAAATTAAATGGACTTATTAAATTATTGGACCTGGGGGTGAAGGAGAGAAGTGGGTGTAAAATGACTCAGCTTTCTCCCTCTCCCTTTCACCCCTTATTCAATTACTGAACTCAACTCCTAAGTATTTCTTGCATGTACCCACTTTTCTCCTTCCTAGCGGCACCACCCAAGTTTAATTCCGTCGCCCAAGCCACCAATGAAACTGTTTACCCCTCACTTGCATTTATACCTTGAGTGATCTTTTAAAAATGCAATTCTAGTCATGCCTCTCTCTTGTTTAAAACCATTAATGACTTCAACTTCCTCCTCAATAAAGACCAAAATCCTTAACAAGGCTTCCCTAACCTGGCCCTTGCTTGCCCCTTGAGCTGCACTTCCTGACCCTCTGGCATGTGCAGTTCCTCTTCCCGACACCACTGCCTCTTCACCTGGCTAAATTCTACTCACCCTTCCAGGCAAGTAAATGTTTTCTGCCTTGCCCAGGGAGTTCTCTGAGGCCTGGAGCCACGCCTTTGCTATAAGCTCCCCTTTCATACATGCTACCTCATTTGTTTAGGCTTCCTGGTTCTTCCAGTTACGTTATATGGCCTTTCACAAGTCATCTGTGCCTTTGCTCACTCATCTGTAAGTGGAAATCATAATAATACCTATTTCACAGAATTGTTGAGAGGAAGAAATGAAATATCCATGTAAAGAACTCAGCACAGTTCCTGGCACACCGTAAGTGCTCAGTAAAAACATTCCTGATTTTCCCCTACAGGACTATGAACTTCCAGAGAACAAGAGAACGTCCCCTCATTTACTGCTATATTCTCTTGCTTTTTTGCAGCTCCCAAAGATAGCCATTTGAGTGAGCAGAAGTGAGTTCAATGGGATGGTAGTAGCATTCCACCCCACCACCCAATCCCTGGGACCCAAATGATGGATGGGAGTTAGAAACGCTGTTCCCCCACACTTCCCACCACCACAACCCTCCTATTCCACTCAACCCTCTTCCCTGCTGCACCAGACTGGTGAGAAACAAATACAGGAAAGGTGAGATTGTGGGGGGGTCCTAACCTCCTTTCTTCCCAAACTATAGTTCTCTGGCTAGGGAGGCATCCTGGGGCTGCGCCTGTAACGGGAAAAGCATGACTGCTGGAGCCAGAAAGCACGGGTTCGATTTCCGGCTCTGCCACTTATTAGATACGCGCTTGGCCTGATTATTTAATCTCCCGCATCTGGAGAGCCCCACACACCGGGTGGTTCTGAGGTGCCAGCGAAGTAATGGCTGTAAAACGGTTTTTCTCTACTGGAACGCGCCGTCGGAGGGTGCTGCAGTCCCTTTACGCGCCGCCCTCGCAGACGGGCGGGGAGGGCCATCCCCACCCGGCTTCCACCAGGCAGGCGTCCGCGCCGCTACGGGGCGCCGCTAATGGGATTTATGCTAATGAGAAGGACGCGGGTGACCGCCGGAGCGCGCCGCCCCCCGCCGCCCCCTCGCCCCACCTCTCCAGGGACGCGCCTGCTGCCCGGAAGTCGAGACAGATTCACGGTCAGTCCCTGAGCGGTAGGGGAGGTCTGGTCATCTCACAGTGTTTGTCTTCATCCTCTCTCCTCCCTCGGCGTCTGCCTCCCAGCTCCTTCTCATTTATCTCCATTTCTAGAGATCTCACTCCCTACCTCCGTTAGAGAATTATTGTTTCCGCTGTCAATTAAACGGAGATGTTTTGAGCACTTAAGCGTTCCACGCAGTGCGCTGAATACGAAGGGGGGGTGGAGGCACAAACAGCTTAGAGTGCGGAAGTGGGGATTGTGTTTGGGGGTTCGAAGAGAGCGAGCCCACTTCTGTTTGGGAATCAGGATAGTCTCCCTGGAAGAAGAGGCATTTGAGCTGAGCCTCTTCTTCAGGATTTATTGGATCCAATGGGGAGGAAAGTGGGAAGTGAAGTAGTCAGGAAGTAAAATGGAGAAGTTATCCAGTAAGGCCCGGCTAGGATCTTGATTAAGGGGGAGGGGTAAAACTGGACAGAATTTTGAGGTTACCGGTGTGAGAGATCATGAATTTAATTCTGGAGGCATCAGTGAGCCATTGAAGGTTTTTGAGCAAATGACAGGCCTGTACTTCTTCCTATTTCTCTAAGAGAAGCAGCAAAGCATAGTGGTTAAAGGCATGGACTCTGGAGTTAATACTGGTCCTGGTTCAAGGTCAGCTTCTATCACTTTATGACCTGTGTGATGGGCAACTTGACTTCTGTACCTCTATTTCCCTATCTATTAAATGGGGATGATAATTATAGTGTAAAGGGCTTCTAGGGAGATTAAATGAGATAGTGTTTGCAAAACTCTTAGCACAGTGCCTGGCACTGTAAGTGCTCCATAAGTAGTAATTATTATTTGGTGCCTCCCTGTCTTCCTCTGTTCCTTTCCTCTCTTCCTTCTGATGACCCTTCTCTTCAAAAAATAACAAAAACACAAAAATCTTCCCAAATCTGTGGTTTTCCCACTTCATGCCTAGGAATCTTACTCTCACAGTGAATAAAGTGTTGAAATAAATCAGACTCTTAACAGAACAAGTCCCCTTCAGAAACACAGGTGCCCAGGCTCCTTGGGGGAGGTGGTGTAGTTACTGAGGTACTGAACTCATCTCCACCAGATTCCAGATTCCAGCCTCTTAAAAAACAGAGGCCACAGCTCATTCACCCCACCTTGTCCCATCTCTATCAACATGCCTGGCCTTCCACAATTCCCTGATCTATGCCAGTGGTTCTCAAACATTAATGTGCACAAGAATTTCCTCTAGGGCTCTTGTTAAAACACAGATCGCTGGCCCCCACCATTAGAGTTTCTGATTCCGTAGGTCTTTGGTGGGACCTGAGAATTTTCATTTCTAACACATTTCCAGGTGAGGCTGATGCTACTGATCCGGGCACCACACTTCAAGAACCACTGCTCTATCATAGCTGTTGAAAAACTACATCCAAGAAGGTAACATATTATTGCCAATCCCTTTGCAAGCCTGGCTGGTCATGTGCATCTAAAATATGATCCAAGGTCTAGTTTCATGAAGAGTGAGACTCAGAGACTTTCTACAAACTCCCAGGCGACTCTGAGGTACAAACAGGTTTGGGACTCACCGACTTT